TGCTGAGGAATCGAACCCAGGGCCTCAGGCATGCAAGGCAAGCGCTCTACCACTGAGCCACCTTCCCACCCCTTGTTCCCCCTTTTAAAAAGCAAAAAGTCAGCCAAGGCACCGGTGGTTTACGCCTGTAATCCTAGCTACTCAGGCGGCTGAGATCTGAGGATTGCGATTTAAAGCCAGCCTGAGCAGGAAAGTCTGTGTGACTCTTATCTCCAATTAATCACCAGAAAACCAGAAGTGGCACTGTGGCTCAAGTGGTAGAGTGCTTGCCTTGATCTGAAGAGCTGAGGGATAGCGTTCAGGCCCAGAGATCAAGCCCCATGACCGACAAAAAAAAAAAAAAAGCAAAGAGGCTTCTCAAAAATACTTCTACCACCAACTTTATATCAGACTCATTTGTCTCAATTTATTTTGAGGTTTTAGGAATTACATGTTTTTCTTTGGATTCTAATTTGTTGTCTTAGTGATGAAAGCTTTGCATGATTTCAAAGTGAAAACTAGTTACACAGTAGATTTGGAAAAGATCCCAATATAACGCAGTTTTAATACTTGCTGTTTACCTATGATTGTGGTTTGTCCTTGAAATATTTCTTTTGACAGATCTAAATTGTGTTTTAGATTTCTCAGGTCCTATATTAAAGGTTCCATGTTTCCCTCCTGCTTTTTCCTTCTGCAGCTCACTCCATGGCATGTTATTGTGCAAGTTACAGGCACCAGTTTCTCACACCTGTAATCCTAGTCATTCTGGAGGGTGAGATCCAGAGAATTTTAGTTCAAAACTAGTCCAAGCCAGGTGCTGGTGGCTCACGCCTGTAATCCTAGCTACTCAAGACTGAGATCTGAGGATCGCGGTTCAAAGCCAGCCCGGGCAGGAAAGACCACGAGACTTTTATCTCCAATAAACCACCAGAAAACCAGAAGTGGCACTGTAGCTCAAATGGTAGAATGCTCACCTTGAGCTAAAGAGCTGAGGGATAGCGCCGAGGCCCAGAGTTCAAGCCCCACGACTGACAAAAAAAAACAAAACAAAAAAAAAAAAAAACACTAGCCAAGACTGACAAGTCTGTCTCCAAAATAGCCAGCAAAAAGTAGGGCTAGAGGAATAGCTCAACTAGTATGTTACCAGCCTAGCAAGTAGATGGCCCTGAATTTGAACTAAAAAAAAAAAAGAATATCAAGCAGGAGTTGAAAAAATTTTATAAAGCTCTCTCTCTCTCTCTCTCTCTCTCTTTTTGGTCCATCATGGCCCTTGAACTTAGGGCCTTGGTGCTATCCTGGAGCTATTTTGCTCAAGACTAATGCTCTACCATTTTGAGCCACAGCACCTCTTCCAGTTTTCTGGTGGTTAATTGGAGATAAGAGTCTCAACGACTTTCCTTCCTGGGCTGGCTTTGAACTGTGATCCTCAGATCTCAGCTTCCTGAGTAGCTAGGATTACAGGAGTGAGACAGCCATCGGTACCTGGCTTTTTAAAGCCTTTTCTATGAGTGTAGTAGAAGGTCCTAGGAATTGAACCCAGGGCCCCAAGCATATATTGAGCACATGCTAAGCCACCAAGCCATATCTCAAGCCTCTAAATAAATCAGTTTTAACATTTTGTTGGTATAATTCAAGCATGTCATTGCTTGCTTCATTGGGTGGTTGGGAGAATTAAAGGTATTAATACAACCTAGTGCCGGTGGATTATTCCTGTAATCCCAGCTACTCAGGAGGCTGAGGTCTAAGGATCTCAGTTTGAAGCCAGCCTAGGCAGGAAAGTCAGACTCATACCTCCAATAAACTACTCAAAAAAACCCATAAGTGGCTGGGAAGGTGGCTCAGTGGTAGAGTGCTTGCCTTGCATGCATGAGGCCCTGGGTTGGATTCCTCAGCACCATATAAGCAGAAAAAGCTGGAAGTAGCACTATGGCTCAAGCAGTAGAGCGCTAGCCTTGAGCTGAAGAGCTGAGGGACAGCACCCAGGCCCAGGGTTCAGGCTCCATGACCGACCAAAAAAAAAAAAAACAAACAAAAAAAAAAAACCATAAATGGCATTGTGGTTCAAGTGGTAGAATGCTTGCCTTGAGCAAAAGACACTGAGGGGGAGCATCCAGGCCCAGAGTTCAAACCCTACAACTGGCAAAAAAATAAAACTCAAAAGGCATTAATATATATGAAGTCTTTTTAAATCTTTTAAGTAATTTACAAAGGAGTTTCCAATCAACGTATCATTTTATAAATACAGTGCATCTTGATCAATGTCACATCTTCCTTTGCTTTCCACCATCTCTCCCATATACTCAAATTACCTGGTTCCATTTTCATATATGTGCACTGAATATAATGGTTGTATTTGGTCATATGAAGTTTTTACAGCTGTACCTGACAACTGTTACTTTGCCTGCTCTTTTGCTATAGGTTAGCTTTTTTTTTTTTGTCGGTCGTGGGTCTGGGCGCTGTCCCTCAGTTCTTCAGCTGTTGACTAGCGCTCTACCACTTGAGCCTCAGTCCCACTTCTGGCTTTTTCTGCTTATGTGGTGCTGAGGAATCGAACTGAGGGCCTCATGCATGCAAGACAAGCACTCTACCACTGAGCCACCTTCCCAGCACCTAGGTTAGATTTATAGTATTATAATATCCTTATAATAATGCCTTAGGTGCAGCCTGGACACTTAAAGTTTTTTGTTTTTTTTTTTTTGGGGGGGGTCCAGTTGTGGAGCCTGAACTCTGGGCCTGGGCATTGTCCCTCAGCTCTTCTGCTCAAGGCTAGCACTCTACCACTTGAGCCACAGCGCCACTTCCAAGTGCTGACAGAACCTCCTTATTGCTCTGGCTCCAACGCAAAGCATTCTCTGTCCCTACCACCTTGGTGGCAGATCTAGCAGCTCTCCCTTGGGCCTTCCTCTGTTCATGTTACACTGTGCTAATTTTAGCTAGAAAAACAGCATGTGGAGTGGAGGTAAATGGATGAGGGATGGCAGAGATATAGACCATGTCCTAAAATTTTTCATACTTATTCAGTTATCTTCATTTTTGTACCTCTCCCCTTCCATTATATGTTAGCTATTTTGTGAGTCCTCAGTGCCTGGAAGACTTAACAAGACAGTCAGGTGTTCAGACAGGGCAGAAAGCACAGGGCTTTGTCCTTTGCTGCCCTGCCAGAAGGATGGGCATTTCCATGGAGGGAAAGATGCTTCACAGAAATAAGATTTTACCCAGACATCCCTTCACTGACCACAAGACATGGTAGTAATTTCTGTGGGAAAATCAAATAATGCTGTTTTGGGGTGCATAAAGGATAGTCAGCGGCAGGCCCTGTTGGGCATTTTCAAAAATGTGACGTGGTGGCTTTCTCCTGCCACCTTCAAGTGGTGCATTGCTCCCTTTGCTTATATGGTCAGCAAAAGAGCACAATTCTCAGCAGGCACAGCTAGGGGCACTCCATGCAGGTTGGCTGCACATATTACGTCAGCAGGAGGAAGGCAGCAACAGGCTGAGCATGAAAGTGAAAGCACTTCCATACCAATAGTGGAAAGGCAACAGCTGCCTGCATCTGCTTCTCAGAGGCTCTGTGCTCTCAGGCCAGCTGCTGAGTGGAGACTTGAGATGCCTGTCTACCTCCTTTTCGACTGAGTGTCCTTCCTATTAGGTGGAGTAGCTGCCTTTTGAAGGCCCTCAGTACCCCTATTGCTTCTTTATTTCTTTGTGTCTTTTATTGACCTCCAAAGGATCACTGACAGCTCTCTGGGAGATGGATTCCAGAGGAGGCTGAGCTGAGCTGAGCAATCTCAGTCAGCCCCAGAGGCCAGTAGGGGGGAAAGGAAGAACCTCAGCTGGGTGGCAGGGCAGGGTGAGGGGGTGGGAAAAAAGAGTCACATGGTTATGCTGCTTGTTTTTGGCATTAAATTGCTTCCTGTTTTTTTTATTTTTAGGACGAATACCTTTCCCTGGTGGCCCGGCTCATTATCCATTTTCGGGACATTCGTAAGTAAGATTTCATATTTCTGGGTTGTCAGGAACTCTGTGAGAGGCCAGCTCTGTTGCTATGTGTTGAGATGTTCTTTTTTTCTTTTTGGGTCCGGTCGTGGGGCCGGAACTCTGGGCCTGGGCGCTGTCCCTCAGCTCTTCAGCTCAAGGCTAGCGCTCTACCACTTGAGCCAAAGTACCACTTCCAGCTTTTTC